GAATTTATTGATAATTTTTCTCCTATAGTGAACACTCTCAAAGCAGTGTTGCAAGGTGATTTCAAGACAGATTATGATTACATGGTAATAATAATAACAATAGTATCAAAAAGCTTATTATTGATTTGGATAACTGGGGGTTACCCTGTTGATACCAGAAAGGTTTACGTTAATATTTAAATTTATTTGACTTTGATTTGATAACTTTTATGAATTGGCGATTAAACTATGATGGTTTAAATGATTCTGTATGCTTCTTTTTCATAAAGCATCATTAATAAATTTTGTCGAGATTTTTTGTTTTGTATAATGTTACCAAGTTCATTTTAAAAAACATTATCTGGTTTGTTTCATTCTTGGTAATTAAGATTAATAGATTTGAAAGCCTGATCATGATGCACCTCATTGGTATAAAAAAGAGCATCAAAACTAAATGTTCTAGCCAATAAAAAGGCTTTGTTCAAGAACGACCATGTCTCGAGGAAACCATTATTTTTTCAGATCTTTATTCATAAAGAATCTTAAGGGTCACATCAATCGGGAATATCAAGTTAAAAATGGTAAGATTGTTTAAACAAAGTTTCGTCCACTTCTTTACCCTATTCAGACATGTGCTTTGTGATCTTATTGTCCATATGTAATGGGTCAAACTTGATGAGCTTATTTCGGGGATACACCTGGAGCAGTAGTTGTCTATCTTCTGATGGTAAGATATTGCCCTTGTAGATACTTGTAGGTAGTTTTCGTTCTCGTGGGATGACAATCAAGTGGTGTTAAGGTCCTCCAGGAACTCGTCCAAATGATCGTCTGAAGATATAAATTGATTGTTTGCTGTATCATTTTGGGAAGAATGTGGTTGGATGAATTATCGTGTTCCACATCGGACATATTTAGAAGGAGTGTGATTTTCCGTGCGGAAAAATAAACTGTCTGTTGGCATTTATTAGATAGATCACGATAGGCAATCTTGCAAACTAGTGAAAGAAATTAATAAGTTTAGTGATATGTTTGGCATTACGCAAAAAAACACTGTATGGTTCCTTACTTATTGAATAAATTGTTACGAGGCAAATAATTCGAGAAAACCTGATCATCCATCTCCTTCAATTTTGTTTTTATCATTATCTGAATATACTGCTCTTCGTCCTCCTGTTTAAGCACACTATATCCCAAAATAATAACATAATCAAGAATTTTATCAGGAAATGATCTTACTTCATATAAAAGGTTACTTTGCTCTTCAAATTTTTTAGCTTCTATGCCAGCCACAGTGATATCCTCTTTCGCAAACGGTAAGGGTTGCATGCGACAAATATTCAGATATGATTAATCGGTTTCTCACAATATATTCAATGAGCTATTGGGTTTGCTAGGAGACAAATGTTATTACATGTGTTATTTCGTCAAAAAATATACAGGCTCCCCCTTATAGCATTTTGCTGGACTTCGGCTGTGCGAAATGTCACTCTCCTTGATACCCGAATGAAGATTGAGGGCAAAAAAATGAACCTCGATCACATGAGCCAGAAATCCAATCAGACTTGTAAAAATCTGAATTGAGTTGGTAATGTTTTCTTAAATAGACATACTGTAGTAATGCATAATCATTATTACCTTTCTTCATACGGCCTCCCCACAAATAACGAGTATATTCACATGCTCTTAGCAAAATCAACACCATTTCAATATCTTATAAATCTTATAAGATCCATTTAGTAGCTTGTACTTTTTGTTAGACTTTAAATGTCTGCTTTGTGTGAACATTAGAGATTCGGGATCAATTACAGCTTCAGGTATTGCCATCGTTATTGGAGGAAAAGTAGCTTCGACAGAAGCGGAAATTAAACCATGTGTTAGTACAGGTTTATTATATATTTTCATTGCATCTTCAACCACACTTTCCGGACGGCAACTTCACCACGACAAATTCTCTCTCATCCAAGTTCTTTAAGAATCCATTCTAATCCTTGCTTGCAAATTTCATGTTCAATACTTTGTAACTTAGTGTTGTCTGTCCCAGCTTTGGCAAGTTTTGTACACCATAAAATCGATTCCTATTTCTTGTCAATATATTGACCAGATCATTTTCAAAAAGATTCACAGTCACGAGTATTTCATTCTAATTCAAGCATTTACATGGTATTCGCCGTCTTTTCTTGTGTGGTGCGTGGATCTGAATAGTTATTTGATATTAGACGCTGAAATTAGAAAGCATCAATATCATGCGGAGATATTTTTGTAAAGCCTTTACATCAGTGACCTTTGATTTGGCAGTATCTAGCCGTTCGGAATCCTTTGTTTTCTTCATCTGAATGACACTCTGTCTTCATCCTAAATTTGACCAATGCCTAATACACCTGTTGTCGATGCTTCCACACCATATTCATAATCATCTTCCTCCTCGGACTCAACTTTATATTTTCCATTCTCAGAATGATAATCTATTATTTTTTCCCCAAATTCACTAGTTGCACAAATCTATCTGGTGCAATGGTGCCAATGACCATTTCAATATCTCTTTTCTTGTCAATATCCTTGAGTAATCATTTTAAAAAGTCGTATACAACACTTCAAATTGTATCTTGAGCTTGATCACCGAGGTTTTGGTTAACGAATGTTAATGTCAATTCGCATATCTCTCGAGTCTCTTTTGTCCGTGGTCTGTAAGACAACCTATCAAAATATTCAGTAGCTGCCAGTACATAGAATATTCGTATGCTTGTTTTGAATGCACTAGAGAAAAAGAAAAAAAAGGTAATATAAGACGAAAGTCAACTCTTTTCCACGTCTCTTCTCCGCTTCTGTAGCCTCCTATGCTTTTTTCTTTTTTGCTTGTAAATCTTTTACGATGTCCCTTTGTACTTTGGTATCAAAATATTTTGGGTCGATTTTCCCCATAATGATTCTGGCACACCAGAAGGCTCGATCTCGACGCGGTAGGACAGAATTAGAGTTAGTGGTGTATAAGTTAGTACCAATATAAAATGAGAAATACCATTGTATTATTACAATTATTAAATAGATTTCCAACCTTAAATAATAAACTTATCGCATTTATTGATTACCCAATATACATACAGTTTCGTTAATGCAGCCAATAGAAAAATCAGTGCTTGTGTTTTCTAGCAGAAACAATGATTGAAAGTTAGCAAATATTCAGAACCAGTCAGATAAAAGTCGTCTCAAAAGATAGGACTAAATCTGACCCGAACGAACTTCGGGTTGGGGTTTGGGTCGAGTTGTTATTTTTGCTATTTCCTTTATTTCCTTTATCTGTGTGTCAATGTTGATAAAATGAAAGAGAATAGGATTCAGACTGATAAAAATATCATCATACTTACCTAATTTACCTTTAATAATAGATTTTCCAAATCCCACAAACTTGCCAAACCCTTCCTTCCCCTTGTAAACTTATCTGAGCCCTGCCCGAAAGTACCGTGAGGTCAAAGATTGCGCCGTGATCATATCGCCAACCCTGACCCGCAATAATATATCAATTCTTTTGGTAATTGATCGTCCAGAAAGGTAAGAGTGCACTTTCCAATAAGTATGGATCACATTTATTAAATATTTCTTGAATAATCACCCTAAATAAATTCGGATATCATAAAGTTAGCATACGGTTAAATTTCATAAATGCTTTTTGTCCGAAGCAAAGCGAAGGACATTCTATGTTTACGATCCTTGATGAAAATAGAGGTCACGTGTGGATTCTGTCCGTCACGCTTGTGTAACGCATGGTTTTTTTTTTGATTATTAGCTTCGGTTTCCATTTCCTAGTATTAATTATAATTGGTTTTAATAATTATATACTACTCTTGGTAGAATTTTAACTTATCAATAATCGTATTTAAAATTCGCAGACAAGATTATTCTCTGTCGTGAATAAAAGTGGAATGGTATTAGCGGTTTTTTTATTTATTAAGAATATCATAATTCGATGTGGATTTTTTAAAACTTTGGTTTTTTTTTCTTGCATGACAAGAAAATAATTATGCATAATCAATTTTAACGTGGACCTTGAATTACATTTTTTTTTTTTAAAAAAAAAACCAGGATTTATACAAAGAGATCTGACTTGGCATTTAAAAAAGGGGACGATTTATAACAAAGATTTTTTCGGATAAACGCAATACATGAATGTTTCACAGGATTCTTCTACCATTATTATATTTGACTCTCTTTAAGAATCCCTTATACAATAAGAGTATAATAGAAAGATACTTTAGGAGAATAATAATGATTGAAATACTGTACGTGAAATAATTACGATGTTTATGCTAACACAAAAATACACAATATCCCATGTATGACAAAAAAATCCCGAAATGAGTGGCGGCACAAGGGGAAAACGAAATTTAGATGGTAAATATAAATCACATGTAGATTAATGGATACGAATACGATTCGTACGGGTGACCGCGCTTTTCAGCATTTCAAACGATATATACATGAATTCTTTAATATGATGATAGGATACATTTGACACGGGTAAAAGTTATTAAATTACATCCGCACATCCGACTTTCGGTATGAAGAAAATGAGCTGTTTCACAGCATCCAGACCTATTGAACATTAATTAAAATTAATTTAACAAATTAACAAATATAGAAGTAAATCGGTTTTCTGTTATCGGTATCACCGTGCTACCAATACGTTTGCTACACCAGTTTAACTATTGCTCGAGATGTGCATTGACCTAAATACACAAGAAACCATAGTTACCTGCAACTGAATGCATCAATATTCAAACTTTTATGCACATTCTATTTACACAAGGTTTGAATTCTCCAATTAATAAACAAACGTTGGTAACTCGGTTGCATTTGCGCAATGCACACATATGAAGCAATTGCACACAATCGTTGGGGGTGTTAAGAACGCAACGAGGAAAAAAATATAAATGCACTGAGTGCATCGGATTTCCGCTACCTTTTTTCTCACCTACTGAGATTTAAAAAACGGGTCTCTTTTTTTTAACGTAACGAACGAACTAACGATGATCATATTTCGTCAGCACCCGAGATTCTTCCTTGGTCTAAAATGTACCCAAATTATATTAGCAATTTTGATCTTAGCGTTTGGTATGCCCTTTAGTTTCCATTATGTGATGTTTTAATTCAGACAACTTCTAGAGGCCTAATAATATTTTTTTCCCATAAATTATACGATACATAAAAATCACAATAGAATTGACTCAGTTCATCTATTATGGTGAAAAATTAGTTCAGGAAAATGGTCGTAATGATTGGTTTGATCCTGCTCTGAATGATCAAGCGTAAGGATTGTTCGCTTTATCGATACTTGAATATGAGGAAATCTTGTTACTCAATGAAAATTTAACAACTCTTTAGAAGCAATGGTCAAACCAAAATCTGGGTTATCACTGTATGCGCTTTAACAATTATAAGTCATGGTAGGTTCACATTATTGGTTTCTTGTTTCGCCAATAGTTTGTATCATTACTAACAATGCCGAAATTTTCCAGTCACATACGTTTTTCGTTTCATAAACATATGGAATAAAGGTCCATACGCTTTTATAGAATTGTACGTACCTATGATAGAACCTTTGATTTAATCGAAAAATGTTATTTATTCAATTCTCATTGATTACATATGATTTTTTTTTTTTTTTTTTTTTCAGATTATTTCTCGCCTTATGGTTGACTTCCTGTAAGTCTCATTAATGTGATACTCGAAGTAGTCAACCTTTTCTTTGAACTAATCGCAATAATCTCATTCAACAGCTTTATCGAATCTCGATCCGATTTTTAGAGGATTGGAAACTTTAAACTGTAGAGCACAGGCTTTCTCCTCCTCTCCTGATGCACGAATCATCTGTGGTCTTTGGACAACGAGCATTGCCTTCGGTTGGATCACTTTTGGAACCTACTTTCTGTCCTTCTTCTTTTCTTGGCAAGCTCGGAAAGAAAATCAACCGGGCATCGGAATTAGAAATTTAGGATACAATCATAATAATCAAATCTTTACTTCGGAAACTCTTCAAGAACAAAAAAAGATAATTGTTCGATCAGACTCCAATGCTTTGCCCATTACTGTAATTACCGTACCCCAGAATATTCATCAGCCTCCAGAGTCGGAGAAAGAAATTCCCCAGCAAACACAATTGTTGTTACAAAGTGGTCTACCTGATCAAGGAATCCCACTTCAGATTGTACTTCCTCAAAGTGATTTCCAAAGAGTCCGGGAGGAACCCATCGTTGAGAATCATCAGCATCACGAGATGCCGCAATTACCACATCTTGTTCATCCTCAGGATACTGCCACATCGTTTCCCGAACAAGGCCAACAACACCAGCAACAATTGCAACAACCTCAACAACTTCAGCAAGATGATGGAAACTCTGATTTCTTGAACGTGATTCCGTCAAGAAAGCCCTCCGCTTCATCTTTGCATGAGGTTCCTCTCTAAATAAGATTATTCCAAAATGTTTAGTCATGAAAAGTCAACTACATCACACCATTACAATCAACAGACCGTTAATTTTTACCTAACATGTAAATAATTATATAGAAGATATTATAATCGTTTGTATTTGACTTTACTTGACTCGTAGAAATCTTATTTTATTTCTCTAGAAAAATGTTGCATTCTTGGATCGTGCTTAATGCAAGTGATTATTACTTAATGACCTTTTTTTCTTGAAGCTTGGCCAGGAAACTTTGTTGGTCCGTAAATAATATCTATATCGGTAGGAATCTATTTAATTACCATAGTGAATTCCCCGAATTCCTTAATTTTTATGTGCAATAAGTTAACTAGCTAATAGATATGAAAATAATACATTGTCTCACGACAAACTTTCCACTCGATAATACAATTTACATCAGTTGTCAACTGTAATTAATTAATTAATTAATTCCAATTCAAAACCATTGATCTTTCCGTTAGAGCATATCGCGTGTTACTGTCTGTATATTTATTTCGATCAAAAATTTCATTTTACCTAATGTATTTTTATCACTTATTTCAAATGCTTAAATTATTGTGTCACCAATAGAAATAAAATATTTTCAAGTAACAATAATTAAATAAATTAAATAAATTAATAAAAAATTTTATTGTACATAGACATCCTATTTCCAAGATTGAATTCATAATGAGATTGATCAGATAAATAGACAACTGGTATTATGGATACTGTATGTTGATATGTTGCTGAAAATTTCACTCTTATATTTTACCTTTAATTATTTTAATTATTTTATTTATAAATATTATGATTAATAATAATAATCCCAATTTGAATTAAAAAAAAATGTGTAAAAAGTAAATTTAAGTCATGATTTTATACAGTATTACAATTATCGCAGATCATCTCCTAATCGTATATATATGTATGTATGATCTCTAGGGTGTGCCCGACAAAACCATCTTTGAACCTCATCTCTCCATCTGTATACACTGATGAAATATGAAAAAGAAGACTACCCGGATCAGGGGAAAACCAGTAGCTGTGAATACAAAGAAGAAACAGCTTTGGCATAAGGATCCATTGTTCATCAATGTGTGTGGAAAAAATTATTATTATTATTTTTTATCTTTGACATTCACCTAATTTTATTTTTATTCGTGTTCCTTAGGTGATATCGCAAATCCAAAATAACTTATCTACCATAATATCTTCAAAAGAATACCAAGATTATCAGCAGCAACAAGGGAAAGAAAGAAGCAGTGTGATAAAGGATACGAATTCAGTTTTCGATGATGAAAAAATTGTTGTGCTAGCCGATAAGATTCTTAATAATATTGTAAATATATTAATTTAATTAATTTAATATTAGCTGAATAATTTTATCTCAACTCACGGCATATTCCCTTATTGAAATATTTTGTGCAGAGCAAATTCAACAAATCATTGAGTTCGCTGTTAAAGAAATCCAAAGCGTTTGTTACTCGGAAGTTGATCAGAAAACTTAAAGAAGCTCGCGAAAATTTGAAGTGAGTTTTACTTTCATCTGAATAATGAATTATTCAAAATTTACTGACAATCACCGTTACCTCTAATACTTTAAAGTAAAATATCCGTTGACAAAGATGAAGATAGGGAAGGTGCTGAGAAATTGGTTATGCATCTTTCTCATCAGTTGGAAATTATCAAAGTAACAATCGTTCCTTAGTTTTCTTATTTCAAATTAATTCTTACGAATTTTTTCGATATTCAAAGTCTCAGCTCTATTTCTTTAAAAGCTAATTAAAAGATCAGAATTGGCAATAACCCATCTTAAGCAAAGGATAACAAAAAACAATATCCTAAGATCGCATCCTCTGATAAAGAAACTTTACCTTGAAATTTTTCCACCACAATCATCGCCACCTCATCCATCCGATAAATTGTCTGAATCCATTTCTCCAGAAGATGGATACAAATTACTAAAAGAATTAGAAGTTCAAATGGTTAATCAAAAACAGGCACGGTCAGAATTCGAAAAGTGTGTGGATGCGTTGGTGAAATTGATACAAGAAAAGTATGATGAGGAGGAGCAGGAAGAAAAAAAGGCTCATGTATATACATTTTTATTTTAGTCATCTTGACCGTCCTCAACAAGATTATATTTCATCTAACACCTTTATTTATAGGAAAAGCCCAAATCAGCATCAAAAGACGTGTTTGGAGATAAGGAAAAATCCAATCGATCATACATCAATAATGATCCAATTCCATCGATAACAAATAAAAAGAAAATCATCAAATCCGAAATGAAGGACTCAAAACCCAAAGTTACAACTCATTCATCATTGTTTTTACCCTCATTGGCAGACGTATCTTTGTCTTCAGAAACTTCTGACGTTGATGATGACGATAGAATTGATGATTATTGGTCAGATCCAGATTTTTATAAATTTTATGGTGGAGGAGCAGGAGGAAATAAACAAAAAAAAAATCGGATGGGACAACGGGCGAGAAGGCTGTATGTATTATTACATCGGATTCATGTAATTAGATTATATTATCATGCAAATAATGATCTGATAACAAGCTTTCTTATTCGATAACGAATAGGTTATGGGAAAAGAAGTATGGTGGAAAGGCAAATCACTTGATCACATCAAAGAAGGATGAAAAAACACGAAAACTACCTGCCTTGGATAAGAATCAAAGTCAACGAGGAAAAGATGACACGATTGACAATAATGCTCAAAAATCTAACCGATCTCACAAACACGGTCCAGATAGTGAACCTGAACTTCATCCATCTTGGATGGCGAAAAAACGTCAAAACGAAAAGATGAATAATCTTAAGTTCCTAGGCAAAAAGATTGTTTTTAATGATGATAATGATGGCAAAGATGATGATATAGTGGGAAAACGTGAAATAGGTAGTGGCGATGAATCGAGTACGCAATGGAATGCGAGCAAACGACAAAAGTATTTATGAATAATTAAATTTTGGTAAGAACTTCGATGATGAAGATACATCGAAAAAGCGACGGAGGTTTTCTATTAAACAATTTGTTATTCCAAATTGTGAATTCCATGTCCGAGGTTTTCATTGGTATTGTAATAAAATAAAAATTGTTGGTATTAAATTTTTGTAACATCTTGGAACTAGGTATTAAACTTTCAAGTTTATATTAAGGAATGTTAAATGACCAAATCCAAATTACTCCTTTTCGTTTTTTTATAACCTCCAATGCATAATTTCATAATTTACTTAAAATAAATCCTTATTTTTCTTTTGCAAGAATCTGTATGTGTCTGATAATCATAAACAATAATAATTTTTTTTTTTATTTTTCTATTTCTTTTTGTTACTATAAAAAATTTTATTTTTCTTTCTAAAGATTTTTTTTTCTAGTGCTTTCAATTTTTTTTAAAAAATCATTATATTACTTCTCTGACCGAATTTAAATGTTATCTTAATCAAACACAACTAAATCAAAGAAAAATCCATAAAACTGATATGAATTCTTTTAACAAATCTTGGATTTTTATTTCAAGGCACTTGACTTAAAAACAAGTTAAACAAAATACATCAATTAACCAAAAACCAGATTAAATTATATATACAGTGTAAGTTATGAATACTAATGTTTATATTGAAACTGAAAGAATATAGAATAAAAAAAATGTGATAATAGAGTATTTTCTAAAAAAATATGTATAGTATATTTAATAAAATTATTAATTTTAATAATTTATTAATTGAATATATTTTTATTTATTTATACTGTTTATTATTTTTTTATATTTCTTTATTATATATCAATTGTACTTATTATATTTCTTATACTTTATATATAATTTATACTTAATATATAATTTGTACTTAATATATTTTTTTTTTTATAAGTTTTCAAAATTTTATGTACTGTATATTATTATTATTTTAATAAATATATTAATTAATTTATCAAATATAAAAAATTATAAATATTTGATTTTTTAATTAATAATATATTATAAATTATTTATATGATTTAATGATATTTTTTAAACTTGATTATTGAACTTAGAATAATAGAAAAATAATTTAATACTTTTTGAAATTTTTTAAAAACAATAAAAATTAAAAAAAATTTTTTTTATAAGTAAATATTATTTCTTTATTTGATTTGTATATAAAAAATATATATTATAAAAGAAATAACATCTCTTATATATTAGTATAATAAGTTAAATATTAGCTTACTTATAGTAATTATATAACCAATATTGAAAAGAAAATTTAAAATAATATATTCTGCTATATAATACTGAGTAGCCATAAATATCTATTTAGTATTAAAAAGAATAATATTTGATAAAAATGATATTAGACTTTGAATATATTTGAATAATTATATTTATATTGAATAAAAAAATTAGTAACTATAATAAATAAATTAATAATGATTTTTTTTTTAATATTTTTAGAATGTGAAATTATAAAAATAAATTTTATATCTTTAATTAAAAAATTATATATAACATTACAAAAAAATATTATTAAATTATAATTAAAATTTATTAAAATTATACAATAAAAAAATTTTTTTTATTTCTCAAAAAATTTTACAATCAATAATTTCAATTTAAAAAGTTTTATTAAATAATATGAAAAAATTTTAATATTATTATACAGTATTATATATAATTTGTAAGAGTTTTTTTATATTTAAAATATTTAATTTTTCTTATTTTTTTTTTAATTAAAATAATTAATATTTTAAAATATATATATTAAAAGTTTTTATAATAACAATTTTAATAAAAATTTTTTTTTAAAACTAAATTATTTTTAAAAAGTTTTTTATTT